GTGTTCCTCCAGCTCCACACTGTGTTATCTCAGACTCCAGCATTGGAAGTTCTTACTATCTCACAGCACAGTACAGGCCCTTCGGCCCACGATGTTGTACCAACCTATTATCCTACTCTAAGATCAAACTACCCTGCATTCCCTTCATTTTACTATCATCCATGTGCCTATCCAAGAGTCGCTTGAATGTCCCTAATTTACCTGACTCCACTACCACTGCCGGCAGCGCATTCCACACGACCACCACTCTCTGTGTGAAGAACCTACCTCTGACATCTCCCCTATACCTTCCACCAATCACCTTAAAATTATGCCCCCTCGTAATAGTCATTTCCACCCTGGGAAAAAGTCTCTGGCTATCCACTCTAGCTATGCCTCTCATCATCTTGTACACCTCTATCAAGTCACTTCTCATCCTTCTTCGCTCCAATGAGAAAAGCCCTAGCTCCCTCAACCTTTCCTCATAAGACCTGCCCTCCAGTCCAGGCAGCATCCTGGTAAATCTCCTCTGCACCCTCTCTAAACACATCCTTCCTATAATGAGGCGACCAGAACTGAACACAATATTCCAAGTGTGGTCTAACCAGGATTTTATAGAGCTGCAGCATAACCATGCGCCTCTTAATCTTAATTCCCCTGCCGGTGAAAGCCAATTCAATGAAAGCCAAGATAAATTGGCATTGTAAGCAGTCTACAGGAAGTTCACTAGGCTAATCCCAGGTAAGGAGGAACTGTCGTACCAGAAAAGATTGAGTAGGTTGGGCCTATACACTTTAGAAGAATGAGGTGATCTTGTTGAAACATACAGGATTTTTAAGGGACTAGACAGGGTTGATGTGGAACAGTATAGAAGAGTCTAGTACCAGAGGGCATAATCTCGAGTAAGGGGTCACCCATTTAAGACAGAGATGAGGAAGAATTTCTTCTCTCAGTGGGTAGTGAATCTGTGGAAATCTTAACTGCAGAGGGCTGAGATGTAGTATATTTAATGCTGAGATAGACAGGTTTTTAATGAGAAAGAGAATCAAGGGTTATGGGGAAAAGACTGGAAAATGGAGTTCAGGATTATCATACCTGCCATGACCTCATTGAATAGCAGAGCATACTTGATGGGCTAAAAGGCCTATTTCTGCTCCTACCTCTTGTTGTCTGCCTCTGTTCAGATGAAATTCATCCAGCAATCTCCCCAAAAGTCAGTCTCAGTGTTCCAAACATCCCTAACTGTACCTTCTTTCGAGCCATACATTCATCTGTTTTATCGTCCTATTTCTGTACTTGTTTGTGCATGACTTTGGGAATACCTCAGAGATTGCTACTTTCAAGATCCTGTTTGCTAATTTTTCGAACCTATCTCCCTAAATTCTGACTGGAGGACTACATCTAGCAGTTAGTACCAACATAAACCACAACCTCCAGTTGATCCTCCAAAAGAGTGTCCCGCATTCATTCTGTCACATCCATGTCCCTGGCGTCAGGGAGGCAACATATCACCCTGGACTTATGTCAACAGCCGCAGAAACAGCTATCTGTTCCCCGAACTTATAAATGCCCTTCCACCCTATTTCCTTTCCATCTATACAGCTGAGCCACATGCAGTGCCATGTGTTCTTCTACAGCACTTCCGCAGCCATTGCCACTTTCTGCACATATGCTTGTCCTGGGCATGTGAAATGTCCACAGGATGCCATATCTAAAGCTTAATTTTGATCTCAATTGTTTGAATTTATTTGTCAAGAACAAGATATTGTACCAATTTTGAGGATGAAAGCAAGACAACTTATGATCAGATGCCAGATTGAGCACACTCCATTATAAATATTCCTAATTAATCTGTTCTGAGATATTATTAGACATCTCTGGAAGAAGTGGGACTTGAACTACAGACCTCAGTCTCAGGGATAGGGACATTACCACTGCACCACAAGTTAGTTCCACGTAACAACCACCTAAGTTAATCTCCATGATCTTGTTTTCAATTCTCTTGGAGAAGACTGAAGATCTCCACTCTCCACATTTAAATTTGAACTCAGTAAAGCAGTGATGGAGTCGACAGCGAATACAAGAACTTTATTCAAATTTTTTTCAAGGATTCCTGGATAGCTGGTTTTCTTTCCATTGAGCGTTTTGTTCTCATCCTTTCATTTTACCAGAAAGGATTTTTTGCTCTTGACATTGAATTGGGCAGTTAGAAATAATTTCTTCCAATATTGAAATCCCTGGCAAGCACATAGAATTCTGTGCTTTTCCAAGTAATTTCCAATGGACCTTTGTGTATCCTATGAAAAAAGTCAAGTCAGAGAACTTCCGGAATGGCCAATTTTGTTTTTGTAGATCAACATGTTATCCACAGCATT